ATTAGGGATATGATGTTTCTAGTAAAAGAGTTAGTTATGTGATACAACTTGTAAGGATTGAGGAAAAGAAGATCTATACTTTAGTTGTGAGCATTTTCTAGTAGGGTGGAGAATTCTACCTAGTTTTTTATTTTATCAAAAATAATTCTTTTTATAGAGGATATTAAGTTTTCTATTTTATCATAAAGTGTCAATATTTAAAAATTTAATGTAAAAATTTTTTGCAATAAAACTAATGGTGTTAGAATTAAAAGACTAAAAGATAATTTATAAAATTAAGGGACCAAAAGGAAATCTCATGTAAAGTTAAGGGATTAAAAGTATAGTTTAGCCTTTTTTAAAAAATAAACTTTTTAGGTATTTGGTTTGATTGAGTGAGCTTAAATAGCTATATGCATTTTCTAAAAGCTTGATCAACTAGAATTTACTGGACTAGGCAAGGGTCAAATCATGCATAGCTTATAGCCCAAACATATACCATTTTTTGTAAATGATATTTCTTTTATAGTATTATTTTTTATTGAGAATTACCATGTACTATTTATGATATTTTTTTGAAATTTCTCATCATTACAATTTTTTAAATCTTTTTCCAAATTTAAAATTTATTTTTAACTTAATATTATATAAAAATAGTATACAGTTGTTAATCATATGTAATTTTTTAAAGAGAAAATACAATATTTAGTTCTTATAGTTTTATCCAGTTTTAATTTTAGTCCTTGTAGTTTTTTTAGTGTTTTTAATCCTTATAAGGACTAAAACACTAAAAAAATTATATAAGGATTAAAAACACTAAAAAAATTATAGGAACTGAAAACACTGAAAAAGCTACAGGGAATAAAAGAAAAACCTGATGAAACTAGAGGAATCAAAGATTATATTTTTTCCTCTTAAAAAAATTACTTTTGATTCTAATATTAGTTTTTATAAAAAATATATTTTAAATAATAATAATTATATTTTTCAAAGAAAATTTTTTTATATATTTTTCAAAAAAATTAAAATTTCTTTTTCAGGTCAAGCCAAAACTACTTTGAAGTAGGATGGCCTAAACTGCACATCACATATTGGGTATTGGGTCGGAGTAATGCCAGGCTAATCCTGTCCATAGGCAATCTTAGACCTAGATGTAAAACAAGTATCATTTTTTTTTGTTAAGTATGACATTAAAATAAAAGGATTAAAGTGTAATTTTACCTTTAAACTACTTTTAAAGGAGTAATGTTTGTAGCAATATTGTCCCTAAACTAATCAAATCGGAGCAATGTTGCCCTCGCCGTTTAAACGTCCGTTACTATAACTAGTAGGACTCACTTTTCATAAATTACAGTGCAATTTTACCTCTAAACTATTTTCAGAGGAGTAATGTTTCCCTTACCTTTTTAAAAATTATGAAATTAAATAAAAATAATATTATAATAATATTAAATGTTTATATAAAAATAAAATTATAATAATATTAAATAAAAATAATATTAAATGTATATATAAAATAAATATAAGAAAAAATATAAACTATAATTTTATAACTTGTCAAATATAAGTGAATCTTGATTAAATTAGATATGAATAGACTCAGAAGTATTTATATTTGCACTTATATCTATTGATATCTTTAAAAAAATGGTCTCAAATCATATTTTATACTTGTAAATTGTTCAAAAATAAAGTTGACTTTTAGTATAATATAATTTTTGAATTTTTTACCTTTTAAATTTTTTTAAGCCTTTTTAAATATTATATTTAAACCCATCTAGTTTTTTAAAAACCGCTTCGATTTTCAATTCAACATTAGTTTTTAATTTAATAGTACCTTAACTCTTGTCCAATCCAGGTTAATCATGAAAATAATTTTTTAGTCCAAATCAAGTAGTTGACAACATATTTGATTGATAGTTATATGTACAAATACAAATGCTTTTGAATCTACTCATATATAATTTAACCAAAATGCACTAATATTTGACAAATTATAAAATTATAATTGATATTTTTCTTATATTTATTTTTATATATACATTTAAAATTACTTTTATTTAATATTATTATAAATTTATTTTTATTTAATTTTATAATTTTTAAATGGTGAGGGTAACATTGCTCCTTTAAAAATAGTTTAGGGACAAAATTATATCTTAACTCATAAAAAATGGATCCCACTAGTTACAGTAACAAATGTTTAAATGACAGGAGCAACATTGCTCTAATTTGATTAGTTTAGAAGCAACATTGTTCTTTCAAACATAGTTTAAGAGCAAAATTATACTTTAACCCAAAATAAAAACATCTTAAAACTGTTTTTATTTCATTTTTATTTTTTCAAAATACATTATATTTTATTATTAAAAATTATAGTTACCATAACCAATAATTATTATAATTTACTATCATTAATTGCCAGTGACCATTACTAACAACCAATTTTTTAAATCTAAAACTTTTTTAAATTAACACAATTAAATAAATTTTATATTTATTTTTTTTGAAAAATAATTTTTAAAACTGTATTGAAAAACAATATTTAAAAACAAAAAATAAGAGTAAAACCAAACAGATCATTTGAAGATTTGCCTTTTGCTATCTTCAAACCGAAGAAGATTAGTCTCCATGATCGAATAAAGATACTAATAATTCTACCGAAATATTATAGGCATTAAAAATGAAATAAACGAAAAATAGTTCTTCTATTACCATCAAACGAAACAATGTTTTTATTGTTATAGCAAAATTTTTTATTTGTATTGGCCAAAAAAATAATATTTCATTTCTTTTAGCAAAGTTTTCCGAAACCAAATAAAAAATGATAGTGATAATAATTTTATAGATAACTACAATAATATCAAGGGACAATGACAGTTTAGTCTAAAAAAAATTAATGACAGTTAAATCTCTGATATTTTTTTAAATTAATTTTAAATATCAATATACACAGTTGCAAATTTAAAAATTTCAATTGTAAATACAGTATCTAAATTATGAGTACAACAATTAATTTGTAATTTGGTTTTCTATTTACAACTGTTTAAACTATTATTTATAATTTATTTTACAGAAAATTTTATCTAAGACTTAACTATTATTGATTCATCCTTTTGAGACTTTATTGTTATTCTTCCTAATATCGATGAACAATAAGAGGGCAATACATGAGTAATGATTTAATCTTAAGTTTTTTGGAGGGGAAAACACAATTTTTGCTCCTGATAGTTTTATTAGGTTTTATTTTTAATCCCTGTAGTTTTTTTGTTTTAGTATCTCTATAGTTTCAAAAAGATTGAGTAATTTTTATTCTTTAAATTCCTATAGTTTCTATTTTTTTAGTGATTTTAATCTTTATAGGGTCTGAAAACAATGAAAAAACTATAAAGATTAAAAATAAAATTCAATAAAATTGTAAGGATTAAAGATTATGTGTTTCTTTTTTTGGAGTAAACTAAAAGAATACTCAATCTGAATGTAAAATTAAAAACAAAAGATACTATGATTTGGAAAAAAAAATTGCGAACATTATAGCTTATGCATCATTTCTCTTCCGTGCATCCGAATATACTCTAATATACGAATTTGCAAATTAGCTATAAACTTGAAGAAAAAGACATGGTAGACACAGAAGTAACTCTCCCTTCTGTGAACAAGCCACATCACGATCGGAACAAAGCAGTGATGTACAGAGTGACACATCAGAGGCTTTCTCTTCATCAGATTCAATCGAAGAAGAAGCTAAAAGCAGAAAAGAGAAGGTCACAAAGAGTGGAGCTTTCAAGGGAATGTGTGTGCCTTCTCAATCACCATTGTTAAATGCTTGTGAGTGGCTCCGCCACGTGACACCGATGCCTCCCCAATTTGCGTCCACATTACTGAAATATCTTCTGGGATGCCCCCACATGCTCAACTGCTACATTCAATTAATTAACATCAACATGCATTAAAATATGACACTCGTACATTTGAGAATCCTCCTCCCGCAAATGCATCTCAGACAAATTTAATTTTCCTTCCCTTTGTTTCTTAAATCAACAAGATTGAATTTCATGGTCCATGCATTTGCTCACACTTTCTGTTCAAGACTTTACAATCAATAACGGCCTTTGAATTCAAATAAGTTTAAGCCTGAATTTAAAGTTGTCGCCCTTAATTAATCTATATATGCTCCATTTTAGTCTCTAATTCGATGTTAATTTGACCTAACCTGACTCATAAACATGTATAAATTTGGATCACACCAGCATATTATCAAGACATTTTCTTCTCAACTAAAACACTAATTTATAGTTATGAATTACTAAACCATTTAACATTGCATAATCATGAAATGTTTAATTGGAATTATATTAGTAAGTCATAACTTAGGGCGGGAGGTACTCAACTAGAAGGCTGACTCGTAAAGAGATATTAGTTTACACCATATTCGCCCTTTGTTTAAACTAAATGAATACTCTCCCTATTGACATGCTACAAATCACCGGCTAAGTTAGAGAACACAAGGTTTCTCAGGTTGGGCATCTAAATCTTGAAACTCCTGGCTAGTGTAATCCTGGGTGCATGATGCAGATCTCTATTTGATGGGCTGGGGTCCAAAAACACCACAGGCATACAAGTTTTACGGCAAAGAACAAGGCCACGTAGGCTAAAGAGACATGTTTCGTAAGTGAATCAAAGGCTTTCCATCTCCCCACTCACTATTTGGCTCTCCTATATAATATATTCCTCCCATGTTACTTCCGAATCATAAGCCAACCAATTCTTCACTCACTGCCTGGTTGTCTACCCATCTTTCCTAGATTTATCACACTTTTTTGTCTTCTTCCCCCCCAAGTCCTCATAGACTAGACAGGAATCCTAGGCTCCAGACAGCACACAGCTAGATCTGTAGTGCTGTTCATTTGACTGACAAAGTCATCACACAGACCCGCACACCCAAAATACTATATAAGAAAACATGCAGGTATTGCTCTTGTCATGTGAAGATAAGATAGTAGTATGTAGATACTAAAAGGCATTATTGTCATCAAACCTGATAGAGATGGTTCTTTTTGGTGCGTAATGGCAGATCCTTCAACGGCTCTTCAAAGGGGCACATGAGAAAGGAAAAGAGATCACCTTTAGTCCAGCAGCCACCAAAAGGGAAACCATCAGAGGTAAAGCTACATTTTTTTTCCTGCAGTTACAATTCTTAGGAGGTGCTTGGCATTGGTTACATTTTTGTTTGACATTCCACTATCATTGTATGATATCTGCATATCATGGTTTTTAAGATGCCTAAATTTAGTATCATTTTGTCATAAAAGAACGCAAACGGTAATTTATGAAAGTTACTTTGTAACGTTAAAAGAAGTGTAATATAATAGCGTATGCTAAACACAGACCACAGACATTTTGGATGTGAAACGACATCCAAAACTGTGGTTTACCATAAATACCGAATCTGTTTTTGATTTTGCATTTTCAATCTGAACTTAACAAACGCTGTTCTTTAGATCTGAATGCTCAACGGAAAAATATAATTCTACAAAAGCATCGAAGGGCATACAGACGAACAAGTAGAGGAAGAAAGCATGGCTGGAATAAGAATGTGAAGATATTTGCATTTATATGTACGAAGGACGACATTGCTAATTCTTGCCTCTACAGCACTCTCAAATTAAACAGAGTAGGAGGCTATAACAGAAGACGGCATTTTTCGCACCCGAAGACGAAGATGAAGAGAGAAGAAATAGCGAGAGGAATAGAAAACAGTAACAAGGTAGATTCAGTCGCTCACGTGGGAAACAAGGTTTTGCCTATAACTGAAGAAAGAAATGAACCACGTGGCACCTCGGAAATCGAGATCAAAACAAAGGCGATATGAAGAAGGCCATTTCAAGAATGAAAGAGTTACTCAGATGGGCTGCTGCTGTAAAAGCAGAGAAAGTAGGAGAACTTAGTGGAAGGAAGGTAAATGTTTTAACTTACATCAATGATCCATTACTATATATTTAACCGTGAATTTGAGAGCTACTCTACATTTACATTCTCAATGACAAAAAATAATCATGGGTGAGAAGAAATTTCATACATTTGTACTTCATTGTTGTAACCCTTTCATTTATGATGTCCTTGATGCATGCGGAGTAGAAAAATGATGTTTCAGCTGCAGCATTAATGAAATAAAATAAAGGGAAGAAAGAAAGCCACAATGGTGCATGAGATTGTTGAAAACTCGAAATATGACAAGTGACTAACGAAAGGGACAAAATGATCATTGAATTCTTGTCAGGTTCTGAGGGTCAGGAGAGGGGGAACCCTTGAAGCAGTTCAGGATGATGAAGAAGAAGCAAGCAGTGACTCACCCAAGATCAGTTTCAGATGGGAAGTGGAAAGCTGCTCCACCACTTCTTCTGCCTTCTCAGTTGTCTCAGAAGCTTCCTCGTCAAAAAATGGCCAATCCGCACCTTCATCGATTTCCATCCCGCATGAAGAGGTTGGCTCTATCGTTTATGGAAGGAAAGGGAACTGGATCACGACAGATTCTGAATGTAAGCCCAGCTTGTGCCCCTCTATTGTTTTCTTCTCAGAAAAAATCAACTTTGAGTACTGAATTTTTCAATCCTGAGAGCCCAAAAAAACAAAAAAACTCCTCAAGCATTAAACCCCTCGCCCCAAAATAGCTACACTTGTAAGGGGATTGTCTACATTTCTAATTTCTTGATTTTGTTTTCCAATCTTAATATGTATTTTAATATCATAAACTCAAACTAGCTGGGCGCTCCAACAAGCACCTTGCTGACGCTATTCGCGATGTGTTCTTTGAGCAGTTGTGGTGCTGGAACTATGAAAAAAATGCATAGAAGGAAGGTTTTCCGAGCAAGAGTAGCGGTGAAAGTTCTAAAGAGAGGTCAACTTCATCTTAGTGATTGTGGTCAACGGGTTTTGTTCATTTCCAGTTTCTCAGATCAGAGAGACAGTAAGATCACGTAACCACTAGAAAATAGAGAGAAGATGAGAGATGTAGGATCATTACCTTCATGATCCGAATTCAGTAGATGGTATCAAATGTATCTTTCCATGTGCATGAAATGACAAAGCTCGTTAGGGGTTTGATCAATCAGATTATATGGCTGATCTAGAAGAAGACATGTGCATATATTATATACTTTTTGGTGAAATTAGAATATAATGCTTTTGTTGTAATGAATAACATAATTTGATATAATAACTTTTTGAAAGAAAATAATAACATGAAGTAGTATTCAAAATATAAGGCTAAAAAATATTTTTTTTTCTCTAAACTTTTTTCAGAAGCATTATGTACCTTATATTGAAGAGTGGGATAATATCTCCCCTAAATAATTTCTTTCTAGAGCACAATCACTCTTCCGTTAGAAATCTGTTATCTTTTTTATTATTTATTAATGTGAAATAGTTGTGATCCCATTTTGCCTTCATTTTGTTTCTAAAACCATCAATCCTAGTTCCTACCACAACCATTGTCACTTCTAATCCCTTTGACCCATGTCAGATTATTAAAATGAGTCAGAATGTCTTGTTGTTACTGTACGTTAGCCTCGCAATTACTACATGTCAATAGATAACAAAAAATATGACAACTTGACAAATGTCTAACAAAAGGTGATTTTGCTCTAGAAAAAAAAAATTATTTAAGGGGCAAGGAGAATAGGGTTAATAAGCAAAATAGATCATGAACTCTTGCTCGAAAAGCAGCCTGGACCCTAAACTTTTTAAATGTGTAAAATAAACTCTAAACTTTTAAATTCGTAGCAAAGTAAACTCTACCGTTATCTTTATTTTAACGTCATTACTATTCACCATGGGCCCTAATTAATTAGCGCCACGGGCCTTAAATTATTACGCGAGTAGCATCCTAACCCTGAACCTTGAAATTTTGAGCAAACTACCCTACCCCTATATAGAACGTTGACTATTATATAAATCAAATTAGTTTCAATGTAGTTCGCCATGGTGAATGCATCGTTGGTTGTGGTGAACAACCCGTAATTTTGTGAAATGATGTTTTTTGCCCTTTTTTTATAATGTTTTCCAAACGATTAGTATCTTATGCCTCCGTATACTCTATAACTTTGATTTAGTCTTATTTTGAATAATGTTTTTTCATTTAATGGTGAAAACTTGGAATCCTATTGGAAAAGAAGTTTAACTATAAAAGAATTTTAATTAACCAGTTACTTTAGGTTTTAAATTCAATGATAAAATCATCAGCTTTTACATTTATCGTTTGTAAAATCCTATGATACTTATAAACATAAAATAAACAAAAACAAACAAACAAACAAATGAGATCCCAAGTTTTAACCATGAAATAAATAAACTAATTCAAAATAAGACCAAGTCAGAGTTATAGAGTATATAAAAGTATGAGATACCAATCGTTTGAAAAACATTACAAAAAAAGGGCAAAAATGTCATTTCAAAAAATTATGGGTCATTTGCCATAGCCAGTTATACATTTGTTGCAGCGAACCACACTGAGGCTAATTTGATATACATAATAGTCAATGTTCTATACATAAATGATAGAGGTAGTTTGCTTGAAATTTTAAAGTTTAAGATTTAATATGCTATTCTCATAATAGTTTAGGGTTTGTGGGGCTAATCAACTAGGGCTCACGGTGAATAGTAATAGCATTAAAAAAAGATAATAGTAATTTTTAATTTGTTATAAATTTAAAAGTTTAGAATTTATTTTACACATTTTAAGAGTTTAGAGTCCAAGCTGCTTTTTAAGTAAGAGCTCGGGATCTATTTTTCTTATTAACTAGGAGAATATTACCCCATTCTTTGGCATAGGAACTCTTCTACAAAGATTAAGGAGACAAATGGTCTTTATCTCCAATATACACGTGTAGTTTTGGTTGTGATCAAGAATTGGGATGCAACGCATGCCAAGGGAAGTGATGGCATGCGCTTGTTAGCTGGCATGAATTAATGCTACTTGTAGATAATAAGATGCTACACTTGGAATATAAGATGCCCTCACACAATAACTAGATTAATAGAGTTTGACTTTTATATGATTTCTTGTTATTTTAATTGCTATTATTACAAACGAATGTATAATTCATTTTTAAGTAGGAAAAACATAATTATTAATCCCTAAAATTTTATCTTATTTTGTTTTTAGTTCTTGTATTTTTTTTAATATTTTAAGTCCTTATAGTTTTTTTATCTACAACATTAATCCTTCTATTTTTAAATATGCTCAAAGGGATGATGATACAGTATGAATGGCTTTAAATTAGGGCATTTGATGCATAGGATAAAAGGCTTGATAGGCCACAATGATTGGAAATAACTCTTCGACGCAAACAATTGCGATCATCAGAACAATCTACATTGAAAAGGAATCATTCCTTTTTTAACCTTTTAATTCAAATTGCCAACTTATTGTGTTTTAAACATGTTGACATTCTTATTAACATTATTGGCTACACATAAGATAATCTAACACTATTATTAATGCTACATCATTGTTCCTCTGAACATATTTAAAAGTAGAGGGATTAATATTGTAGACAGAAAAAACTAAAGAGACTTGAAACATTAAAAAAAAAAGGTGCAAAAATCAATAATAAAATGTGATAAATTATAAGGGCCGATAATTATATATGTTTTCCCTTTTAAGTATTACAAATGAATAAATCTAAATAAAGGTAGCTTTCTATAAATAATTCTTTTATTCATAAAGTTCATTCCATTCAATCAAATCAACATTGGTTAATTCGTTCTTAAATTTATCTAAGTTAGAGTCAATCAGACAAAAAAACACACTTGTATTTTCTCCCGCTTTATATATGACTTTAATGAAATGGAGATGGCAATCTTTCAAAAATAATCCTGAAAAATAATGTTTGGCAAAAAAAATCATGAAAATTATAACATCTCAATTTAAATTTTAATAATTAATTTAAATTAATAAAAATTTTAAAAAATATTTAAAGTAAATAGATTAGTAAGAGAAAATTATTATATTTAATTTGGGATATATTTTTAAATTAATATTTTTTCAAAAAATTATTATTATCATTATTATTAAGAAAGAAAAAAAAGAAATATAAAAGAGAGAGATTGATAAATGAAAGATATACAAACATATAGAGAGAGAGAGAGAGAGAGAAGAGAAGGGGGCGGATTTTCATTTCCGTAGGTGTGTGTGGTGTGTGTATATGCTTAAAAAAACAAAAGAAAAAAAAAAAAGAAGGCAAAATGTGTGGGACCCACACGTTGTTTTAAAACAACACTTGCCTATTTTCTTTTGCTGTTCTTTTCCTCTTTTCTTATCTCTCCGTGCTCGCACACGGGAAAAAAGAAACAAAGCGTGCATAACAACTGTGAAAAAGTCTAATTCAAGTTTCATAATAAAATATTTTGATTGAGGTTTCAAACTTTTTAAAACTATATAAATATTTAAAAAAAAATTTATTCATCTAACTTCTTTAATTTTTAATTTTGTGATGGTAGAAAATTTAAAGTTTGAAAAAGAAACAAATTTATGATGAATAAATATGATTGTTGATATTGTTAGTAGTATAATAAATGTTTTAGGGTATAAATTTATTAATGGAATTTAAATTTGAAGCTTATAAGTTAAACTCTAAACTTCTATGAGTAGATTTTTGTTAAATCCAAAGATATATGTTAATTTATTGAGGTTTAGATAATTATTTTGGATAAGAAATAAATTATTATGGCTATAGAATGATGGTTCTAGGTTTGAAACTCGATTTGTAATTTTTGAGTATTTTTAGATGCGAATTTATGAAATAAAAAGAAAAATTTTGATAATAGAAATTTGTTTAAAGGTTAATTTTAGCTTATTAGTGTTTATTGATGACTAAAAGAGGAGTTAGAAATTTTACTTGATGAGTCCTAACTCTAAATTTGTATCAACAGTGAAATTAAAAATTATGTTATATTCTCTAATTCTATAATTAGAGCTATTTTATTAGTTTTAATAATTGAAACTAATATTTATAAATAATATATTATTTATAAATTGTGTTGCTCATAAAGATTGTGGTGAAAGAAAAATTATAAGAAATAATTTATTGAGAAAGTCACGAGATAACTATGCTTTTAATTTGTAATTAGCGTTGTTTCATGTTAATTGGGTAATTATTGAAAAAATTATGAATTGTTGTTGAGAAATTATTTTGTTATGTTTATGGAAAAATTGTAAAATTGTGATTTTGTATTTTGAAATATTTTTGCCAAGTGGGATGTCATGTAATATTATTGAAAATAAAAAATTGTGAAGATTATAATATTGTATAATTGTACAATATTGATGTGAAATTGTTTTGTTTTTGTGGAAGGTGTTGGGAGATTTATTAGTGTTATATTTTTGTGCCACATGATATGCTTCTATTGGAGGCTCAATAGGTAGCTTATAAGGGTTCGAGCTAATCTACCTTTAGCCAAGTAATTTAGCACCGAGTGAGGGTTATGGCTCGAGATTAATGAAAGAAGATAAGGATAGTTGTTGTTCATGCATTACAATATTTCTTGTATCTTTTATGGACTTATATTATTGATGTTTCCCCACTTAGCTAATACACATTAAACTGTTTGTATAATCTATCATAAATTAACATTAGTTACTGGAACTTTTGAGTCTCATTATATGGTTAATAATTTTTAGGAGAAAAGCCACGTGTAGAGTGTGGAGGAATCCCTAAGACTTAGTGGCATATATTTCACTATCACTTTTGAGTATTTTAATTTATGATTTTTAATGTATTATATCGTCAATATTAGGACCTTTTGTTCATTGATAATTATATAAATGTAATGTTGTAATCTTGCCCTTCAAATTATTTTTGCTTTTGATATACATTTTGGATGATTGTAACTTGATATCTAGTTTATTTTGGGTGGTTTAAAGTGGCATGATTATTGGACTATATAATGGGCTTATTTTGAAAATTAATTAAGTTATCTATCTTAATTGTGGGTTCATGGTTTGCACTTGTTGAGAGTATAAGGCTAGAAAAATGTGATTTTTATCTAATGGCATGTGGGAAGTTAAAAATTTATTTGAAATATTGTATCGTGCAAACCTAAGCCACTTGTTACTTGTTTTTATATTTGATTTAT